AAAGTATTACATCACTTTGTAAAAGCTATTATTACCATATGTTGAGTCTATACAGTTTGATATAATGATTGGATCCCGAATCCGCCTCGCAAGATGTCACACTTAACAAGCAGATTACTAATAAACAGCCCTTATAATAGGCAGGTAATAAAACACACTATGTAATTGGTCACTATACTAAAGCGTTACCATTACTTTTACCCCCAAACTAGTCTCAAACATTTTTTATATATCATCTATTTTCATTTCTACATGAGGTACAATTGAGGAGGGATTTGTGTGGTTACTTGAAAGATTTGTGTCCTAGTAAATTGTGACTGTATTACAAGACATTTATTGCATACAATCAGCGTTGGGTAAAAAAAGTAAAATATTACAATCGTAATCTTTAAAAAACAAACCTTTATTTACATTACTTTCTTTAAAAACGAAGTAACACATTTGGTTACTTTAAAAAAAAAAGTTTTATTTTTTTACCCAACACTTCAAACAATATATTGAGATATAGTACATAATCCACAGAGAGAATTCTCAAATTGCTTTTTTTATAGCTTTAAGATATTATAGATGCTTTGCTAACCTCTTTGCTCCTCTCTCCTTGTGTCTCCGCAGGAAAGCGGCCTCACCAGTGCCAGATTTGCAAGAAGGCCTTCAAACACAAGCACCACCTCATCGAGCACTCGCGCCTACACTCGGGCGAGAAACCTTACCAGTGCGACAAATGTGGCAAGCGCTTCTCCCACTCCGGCTCTTACTCGCAGCACATGAACCACCGATATTCCTACTGCAAGCGGGAAGCGGAGGAGCGTGAGGCGGCCAAGCAAGAAAACCACAACAATGGTGGACCCCTGGAGCCCACAGAGCTCCTGATGCGGCGGGCTTACCTGCAAGGCCTTGGGCCTCTGGGCTTTTCAGATCCAGAGGATCAGGCTGAGGACATCACACGAGAAAACACCATCTTAAGAGACGGCACTGAGAGCGGGGCAAGGGAGACGGAAGAGACGTATGCGGAAGTGACTGACAGACAAGAGACAGGTTTGATGGGGGAAGAGGAAATGGAGGGGCAGAGGTTTGACACTCGTAGCCCTGATGGGACAGCAAAAGATGAGAAAGAGAGTGAAGTGACTGGAGGGACAGAGGACGAAAGCTCGGAGGAGGGGAAAAGAAACCATGACGGCGAGAACGAGGATGCCGATTAACTACTGCATTTCGGAATAAGCTTCTTTTTCGTTTACTCAAAAGCTTGCATCGCACCCTTCTTCCGCTCCTTTTGGAGGGACTTTGAGCCAGATTCACAATTAAACCACACACACTGCCACGTCTTGGGTGTGCGCCTGAGACTCGCACTCGACAAAAACAAAGAGTGGAACTCCAAAATCAGGCCTCACATGAAGGAATCCATATTATGCAAAAACACAAGTGAAGACGATTGTCAGAATGAAAAACAAAAGAGGTTTTTAAATTGTACAGAGTTTTCAACCAGAAAGCTGTGCGGTGCTGATTTCCGTATAACTCCTGTGTTTCATTGTGGTCGTAGCACAAGCCTGGAAATTGCACTCTGAAAATAAAAAAAGAAACAACAAGTGTGAGAAAAAAGGAAAAATAAAAAACACAAAAAATTAAACGAACAAAAAGGTAAAAAAAAAAAAAAAAACAGAGAGAAGAAAACATTGCCTATATGTACTTATACTGCGCTTGAAGACGCAGTGGTGTGTCAGTGTTATATTTCGTCTATCACTTACTGTGATACCCTTGGTTTTACCTTTCTTTTCCTGACCAGCCATTTGAGTTTGGCGTCTCACCATGGCTTTTTTTTATGAAGCGACATTAACTAAATAATACCTATATGATTCTTAAACGTACAAAGTCTTAAAGTTGGCCAGGGGTGGACGGAAAGAGTCTGGGTAACTATTGACGGAGGCTCATTGTATGAGGCAATGTCAGAACCCCTGTGTTTTATTTCTATTTTGTTTTTCGTTCGAGAAAAGCCTTATATGCAAACCCTTTCACCTGTGTTTTCTGCAAGTGCCATCCTTGTACAGTATAAAGCGAAGTCAACTAGTGTTCTCTTTGCACCTGCTTTAGTATTAAAAGAACTATTTCACCTTGTCGTTTGAAATACCTACGTCAGTATTAGTATATCTAGACTGCAGTTGTTTAGTTTACATATTGTTTGTGCAATTTTCTGTATTTTTATTTTTTATTTTAAGATCATCTGTCAGTATTATCTTGGTTTGTTTTTTGTTTTGTTCAATACAAAATTCGTTTTTATTTTAAACTACCATTTTATTTATGTGACTCATTTTATATTTCCTAATTATATTTATTTCATACTGTAGTGTACAGTATTATAGTTCCTTGATATAGATATATTTTAGTAAATAAGGATCCTTAAAAGTGGAGCAAATTTTACGTAAAGAGAGCATTTATTGTATCGGGAGCAATCGCTGTGAGTTGCTCTTCATACTACACTTATCTGATGAAGGAGAATCTACAATTTGGGAACTTTTGATACAATATTGTGAAAACACTGTATTTTTGACTGAAAGGAAAAAAAAATTCCACTTTATTCATCTTATTTGTTTTTCCTTTTTTTCCCTTTTTTTTAGCTAAAGAAATAAAGGGGGGCTGTGGTTGTTGGGATTTTTTGAAATGTCTGTTGAATATAATTTAATTTTTAATTTGTAATTTCTCTTGAAAACGAACTTGCTCGAATAAATGTAGCCCAATTTAATTTTGAAAGCCTGTGTAACATCTCACTCAGCATGTCACTTCAATTCACGCACACACTGACAGATATCCACACATGTCAATTATTATATTAAATGAAGAATATCCAAGGGGGAAAATATTCAAGCAGTCGGCACTTTAGTATCTCAGATATAATAATGTATGCATGTGAACGTGTGTATTAAGTAGTGTCATCCACCTTCATAAATGTGAGAGAAATGGCCATCAGACTTTAATATTCTCTGCGTAGTATCATTTTTCTGTGCTATCATTTAATTAATTACTGGAACCTTTACCTTTTGATGTGGATTACACATAGCAATATAATCCACCTTATCAAAGTCTCTCACAGTATGATAGCCTTCTATTAGTCTCTTTGAAGTTGAATGATGTTGGGTTGCGCTAAATTAACATCAGCTGCAGGCTGCCAAACTGACTGTGAAGTCTCGACTCTGGAACTCTAAGGAGTTCCATTAACCATGACCTTGCTAATTTTCTCAACTCACATACTCATCTCAAGTTTAATTTTCAAGGAACTATTCAAGACACTTTTCTCCCTGCAGGGATGTACAGTTCATTTCGTTTTAGTAGCTAAGGTTACTGTATAAAGGGCCTGTCAAATTGACCCGCTTAGTACTTATATGTTAGCTACATTCTTTTGCGATACGCATTTTCTCTGCTGTTTAAATATTGATGAGTAACTTGGAGTTAGTGGAAGTGGGAAACCCATTTAAACGTTCCCATACTGACGATGAATGATAAAATTAGAGAGACTTCATTTCCACCATATAATATGCTAACTAGCACGCAGATTTGATTCACTAAAGTGTAAGTGATTTGGTCAGAGAGTGTCGTTGTAGTTGTTTTGGACGTGCTGTTTTTCATCTTTAATAAGTGGTTATTTGACCACACTGTAGTTTATCTACACTCAATTCACAAAGCGTTAATTAAACACACACTTACCAAGGCCATTTACATCGATGTTGATATTTACTCCCACCATGTTGATGTTTTGTAACATCTCATCTTTATGAGGTGGGTAAAGACCTGGAGGAAATCCATGCGAACATTGGGAGAACGTGCAAACGGAAAAGAAATGCCAAGTGACCTAGCAATCATGCGCCCTTTAAACACAGACATTCAAATAAATAAAAGGCATATTTATTATGGTCATTATAAAATAAATCTTGACTTGTTGAAATTGTCTACTATTTTTAAGTAGTACAAGGTTATTAGAGTGAAAAGGCATAACATTGAACCATTTTTTCTATTTGTAAATAAATTATATAAAATGAAAATAATGCATTTTATCATATAAAACAATACAAAAAGCTTTGACTTATTTAAACTCAGTTGACATAAATATTTGGTCACCTTGTAATTATAAGATTATGTCTGAAATAAAAAAAAACTAGGATGCAATTTTTTTATTATTTATATGATTAATTACATTAATAATTATTATTTAGTTTAGTGTGCGTTTGGGTCTTTTTTATTTAAAAAAATATTAAATTTATTTAATAAAAAAATGTATTCCCATAAAAGTTTTTCTATATGGAAGGTAAAAATGCAGATAGAACATTATAATTCCATGATGCCAATTTCTCCTTTTCATTTACTTTAACTTGTACTCAAAAAAAAAAAAAAAAAAAAACACATTTAATAAAACATTATTTTAAAATGATGCCATTTTAAAAACTAATAACGTAACAACGGCAGAATAAAAAAACAGTTAAAACTACTCTACATAAAAATCAATACTAAAACACAAAAATAAAATTCAAAATGTTAAAATATAATTTACTGTTATTGTATATAGTGCATCTGTGGTTCTAGCTTCACTCTTATCAATCAATAACTAATCAATCAATATTACTTTTACACTATTTGATGGATGGCCTGAATACATGTTTGTATGTTAGAAACTGAATGCAAAAGGTAGGTACTGACATAAAATAATGAGGTGATTTATTATACGGGGATGGAGTCAAATGTGATATGCAGCGTATTTGCAGGGTCTTTAAATGTCAGAAAAAAGTTTTAGAATCAGAATTTTAGGCCTTAAAGTTTTAAATTCACTGACATATTGTGTTGTAGGCCTTCATTTTCCTGTCCATGTAAAGCTATACCCAATCAGGCCATCTCATTAAAAGTTTTAACAAACGTTCATATATTAACTCTTATTTAATAACTCTATTTACCAACTCTTTCTGTTTGTAAACATTTGGTTTAATTATTTTCATTACAATAACATTTTTTTAAATGTTTTTTTTAATGTTTTAACTAGGCCAGTTGAAAAAAAATCCTTAGCGTTTAGCCTTGTAAGTATGAAATTTCATTAATAATGGTGTTAAAAAGCTCTTTAAAATGTTGCATTTTACTTGATGAAACCTGTAGAAACCCTGGATATAATATTTGTTTCATTTTTAAAATAAAAATTTGTTAATTAAAAAAGCCACACACAATTGTGCATCATGGTCTAACATGCAGTAGGCTATAACAGCACTAAGTACAAAAAAAAAAAAGAAAAAGAAAAGAAAAACTACCAACAAAATTAGGTTTTATATGGATTCTGGCAAAACCAAGCTGGTCATTTATGGTCATTGCCTGGCCCAAGCTGATATAAATGATGGATCAGCTGGACAACCAGCTGGCAGGGCAGAGATCAACCTTGTAGACCTTGATCAAGCTGGATAGGGTTAGTAAACAACCTCTGAACATAAACCAGCAACTGTGTTCCAAAAGCCGACTTAAGCTAATATAACACGGGTTTCCCAGCCTGAAATCCTCTCCCAAACATTTATTTACTAATTATATTATATAATGTATGTTAATGTTGAAATCAAAACCTAATTTTAATAGATGATCTTTAGTAGCTGCTTTACCCCGCAAAAAATAAAACGTCCCACGTCTTTTTCTTACGAGGTGTGACGAACGAGCCTGCAAACGACAGAACGACGCTGGAGTGCGAAATGACGCGCAGTGACGTCATGACGCAAAACACGCGGCGCTTTCAGGAAGAGGTAAGATTGAATGAAACACGCGAATGGTTAGAGATTTCAGACTCCGTTTCTGATTTAAAATATCACGTTTCAATGCTTATCGATCTGTCAGCAATATACAGAATCACGTACTTATAACAGATTTAGCGATATGTGATTTAGAATATGTCGCCCTCTTTGTAAAAGTTTTGTTCTCGTTCATTTTTGTAATGAATGCATGTTGTTTGCGTGCATACAGTGTTTCAGCTTTCAGATAAAGTACGTTTTACAATACACAACACTGTAACTTATATGATATTATTTTATATTTTAAAGCCAATACGCTAGGTTTGTAATGAGTAAACTATGGATTTCGTGTAATATATAACGTTAGTATAACGGATCGCTTTGGTTATGTTAGTGAACATGTTCGTAATAACAGTCAACAATTCACAATGTAATCTACAAAGTAGAGGTGACAATTGTGAGAACTTTTTATAGATGTTGCCTTTGTTTCACAATTACTGCATTGATGTGTTTTTGTTCATTTGAAATAAAGAAAAAATAAGGATTTGGGGTAGTAGTACAAAAATTACGTCCAACATGTGCACTTCTGAGGAAAGGTGTTATCATTTATTTGCATATGATGATATTTTGGGTTGACATTTTGTTATCTTTAAACATGTTTCATAGATTTTAAAATGTTGTTTTAGCGTTTTGATTTTTTTCCCCTGAAAGAAATGTTTAAAGTACTTTACATTGTAATATAATAATTATATGTATATTGTTATATATACATTGTTATAATATGCAGTTTTTTATTTTATGTGAAGTTTGTATAAATATTTTCCAAATGATGTTTAACAGATTCAGGAAATTTTCACAGAATGTCTAATAATATTTTTTCTAATGGAGAAAATCTTTTTTTGTTTTATTACGGCTAGAATAAAAGCAGTTTTTCATTTTTAAAAAACATTTTAAGGTCAAAATTATTAGCCCCATTAGGCTATTTTTTTTTTGATAGTCTACAGAACCTTCCATCGTTAAAAAATAACTTGCCTAATTACCCTAACTTGCCTAGTTAACCTAATCAACCTAGTTAAGGCTTTAAATGTCACTTTAAGCTGTATAGAAATGTCTCTAAAAATATATAGTACAATATTAATAACTGTCATCATGGCAGATAAAATAGCCCAGTTATTAGAAATGAGTTATTAAATTTATTGTATTTAGAAATGTGTTGAAAAAATATTCTCTCCGTTAAACAGAAATTGGGGGAAAAAATAAACAAGGGCTAATAATTGAGGGCTGCTAATAATTCTAACTTTAACTGTATTTTGGTAGTCAGTGGCCACATATAATGCTAATAGTGGACAAGCCAAAAAATGCATGCAGATGAGTGAGGCTAATGAGAATCAAATATTCATAAGCCAGTAGGTTTAGGTATTTAGATCGATCAGCATAGTACTGAATTTCATCATCTTTCGTTCTAAATGTGTCAATATGGTGCAGAGTAGTTTCTTCAGATCTTAGTTTGCATGGTTTCAGCTGGACCAGCTGTGTTGTGCTTGAAATGAGTCAGAGGAAATGGAGAATGTAACCTTGAAATGTCACAAAGCTAGTTTGGAGATTATTGTCACCCATTTAGCTTAATATGCATCTTGTTATGATGCCTATTGTTGTTGTAAAGAGAGAAAGGAGACATAACGAGAGTTTTAATAATGGATGATTTTTTATAAGTTACCTGGGATTCATAGTCCATGTGCCGTAATGTTACATGAAAGCAGTGTAGCAATTTGTTGCTGTAATGTAATTTTCATTTAATGTAGTTTTCACATTTTTGTAGGTCTACCTTCAATGACTAAGCATATCAAGGTAATTTCTGTTTGTTGTGAGTTTTGACCCATAAACGAAGGCGAAACTTGGTGTTGTACATTAAACAGGCAATGTTTCTTACCCACATATGGAAATATATAGAGATGGAAAACTAATTAGAAATGTGGGTACTTTTGGAAAATATTGCTACATTAAAACCCATTCCAGTAAACTGCATCAATGAGGAATTTTATTTTTATTGTAATTCTTGATAATAATTGAGAAATTCAGCACAGGGACATTTTACAAATGCACTGCATATAGCTAATTACTAGGGCAAGACAGAATCTTTTGTTTTATGTCTGTGCTGAATTATTATTATTATTTTCATCTGCAGATTTCTATGGATTATTTTTTTTTTTTATTATGGGAGCTGAAAACTTTAAGAAAAAAAAAAAATAAAACACTTTATTTCATCATCCTTATTTAAGGCTGAAAATGCAAATTCACTGTAGTAGAACCAATTGTTTTCTAAACAAAATGCTACAGTAGGACTCTCATTGTACACAAGTCATGAAAATTCCTAAAGATTTGCATATACAATAGTTTAACCGGTAATTATAAAAAAAAAACTAAATTTATATATACATTTATGCACATTTACATAAGAGAAATTCTATGCAAATGTCAACCAGCAGCTAGCTCTCTGCAGCTGTCACATGGTCACCGCGTCCAGTCGGGACAGCTAGGTTGCTGCCGGGAGTGGTATTAGTAAGACCAGCGGAGAACACTCAACCTGCCGTCTGTTTGGGTTATAATCTGCTAGTTTAATGATGGAGACTCTATACTGCTTAGTGAGCACTGTCTTTAGGATGAGATGTTAATCCGAGAGCCTGGCTCTTTGTAGTCATTAAAATTCCCAGGATGTCCTTCGAAAAGAGTAGGGCCTGGCCAAAATTGCCCACTGGCCTCTGTCCATCATGGCATCCTAACCATCCCCTATCAGCATTGGCTTCAGCACTCTACTCTCCACCAATCAGATGATGTGTAGTGTGCGGTCTGGTGCAATATGGCTGCCGTCACGTCATTCAGGTGAATGCTGCACGCTGGTGGTGAATGAGGAGATTCTCCCAAAAATGTGTCACTTCGTGTGTCCAGAAAAAGCGATATATAAATGTAAGGAATTATTATTATTATTAATTTTTACATGAAAAAGTAAGTTTTCACCAAAATAGTGATAATAATACTTAGTTACGCTTGTATTTTACAGTGCTTTAAAAACACTAAAAACTATCTCTGTCAATGTTTTAAAAAACAATTATATTTGAATTACCAAAGTCATACAAGTGCCAATTTCTCATCTGTCACTTGCATAACAAAGCTTTTCCCTCATTAATGCAAAAATGTAAAATAAAATAAAATCAATACTTTTTCTTTTATAGAGACCCAACTCTTGTCCTTTTTATTAGCATTATTTATATTTTTATTAGTTGTGAATTTTTATTCTCAGAATTTCTACAATGCAGTATACTGTAAAGTAGCCTTTTTTGTCACGTCCATAACGCATGTTTATTTTCCTAATTTAAAATATAAAAATTTTGATCACATGACTGTGTGGTTAGTTGTTTTGGAAAATATAAATGGACATTTCAATATAATGTTAGCATAAATTCATAGAGAAAGTATATGTTTTAAGCTTTTACTGCAAATGTCACGTTCATAATGCTGGAATTGGTCCAAAGTCAATGTGGAGAGCCGGTGCAGATTTGGTGTGGGTCTACTAATAAGCTTTTGAAATAGGCTAATGTCATTCACACATTCAGTATTTCACCTTTTTGAAGAATCCTTTTCACTTTATTTAATGTTAACATTAGTTCTTTTTATTTAATTTTGGGTTGCGTCTTGATAGTTTTAACAGGGCTCTTTTGAACTCTAACAAATTTCTGCCTTCCGTGCCCTTGATAGAGGCCATTTTCTGTCATCTTATCAAATCTTTAACTGTAATAGGCACAATTTTCTCCCGCTAGACACTTGAAATTAGCCCTTTCTCAAACATGAAGGAAATGTTCTTTCAGGCGATCTGTACAGGAATGGAGTGTTTAGCTTTTGTCTTATTATATTAAGTCTAGCCTAATTCAGAATGCCGCGGTCTTGTCACCTAATTGTCAGCAGTAAATGATAAAGAATCAGGTTAAACTCTTCAATTCATGGCACATGATTACCGTGCCTGCCGTTTCACTCGCTTCATCTCCGTCAGCCAAGTGTGCAGTGATTAGCATGTAAGCGCTAGCATGTAATTACAGAGCAGCTTCCTTTCCTTTAATGATTACCGTTAACACAAAGCCTCTGACGAGGTGAATGAGGACACGGCTCACTCTATTAAAAGACAGAACAGACACTCAGATGGTCTGAAAATTTAATTCGTGGAAAATGTGAACTTCCTCTCGCTTTTCTACCGTGAGATCAAAGGCGTTTATGAATAGTACTTTGTGCCCTCGGTGCGTGTGATGAACCTTCTGAAAGTGGCGGTGTCAGTCTGAGCACTTCGAATTAAAAGGTTTCAGGAACAAATGACTATCATTTTACAAGGCTTAATAGTGTTTTAGTTGATTGGGATGCCACTCAGTTCAGTGCAGAAGACGGTCTGGAGGTTGAAGAATATGTGTTGGCAACATTCATTAGAGCGGTTTGTTAAACAATATCATTGCAGAAAAGCTTGACACGGTTATTTCAAGCTGCTTGAGCTGATGAAACTCTATTACTCATATCCAGCAACAATTAAAAGGAAATGGAAAGTTAGTTACAACATTTTGGTTAATTGGCTTTTTCTTGTGTTTTACCTCATTCGGTGTGGTTTTTAACAACTGTTTGGACAACCGCTAACATACTGTAAACTATTTTATTTTATTTTATTTTTGACATTTTAAGCAGTGTAGAAGCACAGCCACAGAATTTACAAGGAATACATTTGTTTAAAAGTAGCTATATGTAAGACTTTCCATGTGTTATTTGCTTTCTTATGGTTTGGTAAGAAACTTTGCACTCGCTCCTGAGAGCCTTTCTTCCCTATACATAAAACAAATGCTGTTGTTCATGCAAATGCTGACATAGCGATTCTTAATGATGACATACAAATCTAGTCAGTATACATATAGACAGTTTTTGAAAGAACTGTATGTCTTGCAGAGCTTGTTTTATTTCTGCATTCACTGCTGGTGTCTTTTTTA